GTGGAGAAAGCAGACTCCGCCCACTCACCCGTGATCAGGAAGTTGCCGTGCTCCTCTAAAGGCTCGCTGTATTTGCGCACCACGTGGTTCAGACCCAGATCCAGCTCGTAGAAGGTCAGGGTCTGCTGGGTGTTGGCAGCCGCCTCTCCGGTTGGGTCGTTATCGGCTTCCTGCGGAACAAAAGTAACGGTCAATGCCATAAGAGTATGAGGTGTCACCACGCAGCAAGGCGTCATACCGCAGCGAGGCTTCACCCGCATGCACAGGCCTCATCAGAGTAACATTGTCTCCAAATAAATGGTCAGAGAAGAGACATGAGAACTCATCACGTGGACCACCAACCTTCAGTCATCTAACAGGAAGTGGGAGGGGACTCACCTCATAGTCCATCTCCAGACAGGCAAACATGGGGTTCTCGAAGCCCACATCCACCCCCACCACATGGTACACCAGAGTGTTGGCCTTATGAGCCTCCAACGGGGAGGAGATGGTCAGACGGGCGGCCGCGTCTCTGTTCAGGATGTACACCAGTTTCTGCTTCTCGATGGCACCTGCGGAGAGAGAGACCAGACAGACATGTTCAGACGCAGCTCTGGAGGCTCCATGGAAATCTGCAGCACATCTCTAACTACGTCTGTTCCCCCATGGTCCCCGTGTGTGTGTAGTCACCGCCCCGAGCTCCGCCCCCCTCCCCACCCCCGGGATGGACTACAGTCTCAGTACAAATTACTAAACAAGACACGTGCAAGAATACAATCCAGGAAGGAGAAGGAGGAAGTCTCCTCAGAGGTTGGATGGGGGACTCTGCAGGGGTGTGGGAGGGGAAACGACTCAAAGTGGGGGGGGGAAGAGTCTCCTCAGAGGTTGGATGTCTCCAGTAACTATGTCAGAGAAGAGACATGAAAACTCATCATTGAGAGACAACAGGGGTCAGAAAAGGGAGGAGCCTCAGCACAGCCAATCAGTTCAAATTCTGAGATTGTAGTCCATCACAGGAGCGAGCTTGGAGCGGTGACTACTTTACAACACGCACAGGGAGCATGGGGAACAGACGTAGTCACCCCTCCAGAGGGAAGGACAGTGTCAGATGATTGGAGGAGTGATACAAATAAGATACATTGTTGCTCGGGGACTCTAATGTATTTTTAAGATTGAATTCCTGAGTTTGTCACTTTAAATGACAGGAGAACCAATTTTAATGAACCTGAGGCGAGGGGAAAATCATTCTCCTTCCTCATGCAATAGTCCTGGTGATTGGTCCAGTGTTGCCCCATGTGGGCGGGGAGGTAGTGCTCAATCCGAAGGGCAGGCTGCTACATCCGATGTTTCCTACAGCAGGGGTAGGTAAACTCCGGCCCTCCAGCGCTGGTGCAACTACAAGTCCCATGAGGCAAAGGACTGACAGCCACCAACATGACTCCCCGAGGCAGATGCATGATGGGATTTGTAGTTTCACCGCAGCTGGAGGGCCCGTGGTATAGGACAATAAAGATTACATTTCCCATGATTCCATGGGAAGGCAGTGACCTGGCGGGTGGGTAATGGACGATGCCATGCAGCGGTGCGCCGAGGACCGTGTTTGTTACGGCTGTGGGCGGGTCCTGACCAGGTGCTAGGCAGTGGCACCCGCCCACCGTCAGCACGTCAATGCTACCCATGCACAAATCCGAAACTACCACTGATAGGGGGGCATGAGGGACAAACGTGGGGGCTCTGAATGATGGGAAAAAAGAAACAGGTCAGTAAGAGTCTCACTAATATTATTCACTTCCTGGCGGGAGTTCAGCTTTATGTTTCCCCAAAAAAACAGCTTGAGGGAAAGGAACATTCAACATCACTTCCATCACACGTCATCCACCGCTGGCC